TTGCTGGGTTAAGACCAGACCAGTCTGCAGGTGGGCAATTCAGGCTTCCATCCCAGTTGGCTCTGGCCCCACCAAAGCATGACATCTTCTTCCGCGGAACTGGGCGAGCAGTGGACAAAGAGTGCAGATGGAAAGTGCTGAGTCGGTGGCCATAACGCGTCCTCGGCGTCAGCCGGACTCGAACCGTGGAGGCGTGAGTCGAAAAGCGAACAGGTTGCCGCCCCTCGTGCGAGACTTGATGGTATCAGCCAGGCTCGAGGCAGGCGGGTGTACGCTCGAAATGGAAGCAGAGGCAACCTGGTCGCAGTTTGCGACGTCCATCTTCCGGAGTTCGAGTCCCGCTACGACGGCTGATTGGACTAAGCGGTGGCGGTACTGATAGCTTATCAATATGGGCAACCAGGGTTGCTATGGGCCGGAGCCGCGGGCGAAAGTAGCTTCAACGGTTGGACCATGTCTTCCCTTTATTGTGGGTCTGAATGTGCATTGTAAAACGCAGCTTATTTTATCAAAATTGTGCATTTCATGGGTAAATCAGCCTGATTGTTTATCCTCCACTGCCTCGCCAGCTGGAAATCAAGCCCGCACTACGGGCGACAGAGACGGTTGTAGAAACGAGCGACACCGGCCAACCAGGCTCCGGTTGGCTGCTGTTGCCGTAGGAATACAGGGAGAGATGAGCACCACATAAGGTGATTAACACCTGTTGGAAATGGGGCGAGTTAAATGTTATCCGTCGTACTTTGGATGCCCCACAATCTTCCCACATCAGATAGTTTGTATAGCAGGTTCGAGGCAGGAATTCGGGGAGAGGGTATAAAAGCATAAGATTACCACGATCGCCCTAACCGAAAGCATACGTACCCTTGACCCTATTTAATGGCTCCGTGATATTTCCAGTTGCTCTTGGTTGTACAAGCTGAAGACCGCAAGTCCTCCTCATTGTGCCCACCTCGTCCGCTAGCCAGGGCCTCTGTTGGTTTTCTCCGGAGGGTTTGAAGAAGAGTAGAATCGACCTTCCTCAATATCCTTCCCGTGGTTCTGGCTGACATTAGGCTGAGCCCATGAAAAGTGCTTTCTGTTTTGTGGTTAAATGGAGGCGAAATCATCAGATTCCTCTTATTAAGAGGAAGTAAATCGGCATTTTAGCCCCTCGGTTGTGTGCTGGTTGTAAAAAGTGCTCAATTAACTTGAAATATATATATATATATAATTTACTTTTAAGTAAATAGGTTTCGAAACTATCTGTACTTTTTGGCTAAGACCTCGAGTCCGCATAAGAGATTTAATTGTGGATACAATGGCCAAGATGTTGTGGCCTCTATTTAGTCTATAGAAATGGCCTTGTTGTTGGTAATTCTTATTTTCGGACGTTTGACTTGGAATATTACCATGAATATTAGGGTCCGATGCTAAAAATTATCATAACTGCCATTGCAGAAGATTTCTGATAAAATTCGTTAAACTAAATCGTCTTGACAACACGACCAAATTGCGAAAACGAGGTCAAACCATTACTTTATTTGAATTATTAACCGCACAAAATTCAACTACTAGCTCTTATCTCACCTGAAAATGATCTAGCCCGACTTAAGTCCTCATCAATGATATTTTGATACTTTCGTACTTGAATCACTTGACATTTGACGGGTACGATCCGGTTTTGACGTTAATTGATGGTGCCGATTGGACTCGACCAAGGTCGAAACTAAAGTCCAGCCAAATGAGAAAGCCTTTTTTGGGAGGTTAGGCTATCTCAAATAAACTATCCTCGAAATATCTAGTCATTTCATTATGGTAATACCTAATTCCCAGGGTCCTTCTGGCCCTGTATTCGCAACTTAGTCGCATTTTCAGAGATATCTCGAAGGAAGCACCCGTACGGTGTCCTCTGCCATCGTCTTCATATGTTCTTCCAGCATCTGACCGTTGAACAGCGTTACTGGATGAAAACATGACAACGGAAGCGAATTAATAAGTGCAGGGCTATTTTTTTCAATTCGCCCTGCCAACACTAACGAGGTGAGAAATCCCATCCATTCTAACTCTGCGGCCAACCAAGCCACACTGTCTCAGCCTTCATATACACCATATTGTGGTATTTTCACATGTTTACTTTCACGCGAATATTTTTGCCTTTGTAATGAAGCACTCTGTATTTACTAGAACGAGATTCTAGTTACGGGAAGGCAGTTCAGGCATCTTGGGACTAAACATATCTTAAAACATGTGACTA